TTCCTGCGGTAAACGCAGCGCTGCGGCGGCCATCTTTCCTGCGGTAAACGCAGCGCTGCGGCGGCCATCTTTCCTGCGGTAAACGCAGCGCTGCTCGGCTTCGTTCTTGTCGGGTCGCTTTGGGGACAAACTGTTCACACAGAAGTCTGACCTCATCGCATTTAGCTTGTAGAATGAAAAATCTTGTCAGAAAATTGGATTTCAGCAAAAACAAAAAAAGAAAAAATCTAAATTGGTTTTTAACAATGTAGAGTAAAAACATCTGTAATTATTTTATCTATTAAACTTCTGTTAAAAAACAGTTTCGACTTAAATTCACATGTTTAACTCATCTAAATGGTTCAGTTTTACATTTTGTTGTTTGCACTAATTGGCATAAAATGGTCCTTGGTGAAGTTTTTCCCCTGTAGGGATGAATAAACTCGCGGGTTTATTCGGACCTCAGCAGCTTTAAAGGCGCCGCTCTGTTCAGGCACAGGAAGCACAATAAATCCAACGCACCCAGTTGAAGATGTGTAAAAAGTCTGAAAACAGAAAATTCTGTAGAAACAAACGTATCTTTAAATAGAAAACAGGAAAATTTAAACTTTTCTCTAAAGATTTATGATCAAACTGAATCAAGGAGACTGATTTCTGTCATTTTGTTTTAAAATGTAAAGCAAAGGGCATCAGAAACTCAGCAGGATTTCTGTGAAGCAGGTCAAATAAATGACAATAAAACCAGTTGTTATTTCATGTCTCACCTCTCCTTCAGGATGAACAGAGCTCCCAGCTGGACCAGGACCGTAGAGGCAAAAACGGCCAGAACCTCCAACCTCTCAAACCTGAACAGGAGGAAAAAGACAGAAACTGATGAAAGTGTTCATCTCCAACCTGCTGACAAACATTCAGAAGCGTAAACCTGAGACCGCAGAGCGGTTCCTTCACACATCACCAGCATCTGGAGCAGATCCGTCTGAGGTGAGCTAATCTCACTTCCGACCCGAGGAGATTCCTCACACAGAGCATCACTTCCATACCAGTCCAGCCTGGTAACGTGTTGCTTCATCGTGCTGGGATTAATAAAACTGGGTTCAAACCATTTAAAGACGTAAAAATAAGCAATAAAAGTCTAAATCTTTCCCTGAACAGACAGGAAGTGAGTGAAGACGAGCCAAGACTGAAGTCATGTTTTTATACGTTTTAGTGGCCGTTAAAACGATGAGCTCCAGCTTTCTGCAGATTGTTTCACACCAACACACACAAACAGTAATGGAGGAAAGATTGATGCAATAAAGCACCGATATCTAACAGGCCACTGGGAGAAAACATGAGCAGAAAAGGTTGGTTGTCTTTCATCGTCTCCTCCTGCAGACGGCCGAACGTCGGGTTTTACCAGACGGCTGTTTGTGATTCGCTACTAGACTAAACAGAGGCAGACACATGTTTGTGCTGCTTTCTATATGTGATGTAATCAAGTAAATAAATGAGAAAAGCTGCACCTTGCAGGCGCTGTGGTTTCTCCCTCTGAAGAGACACTTTAGAAAGCAGTCAAGGACTAGCAGCTAATTTGGGATTAGCAATCTGGTTTTGGGATCAGAGGATTTCAGGCAGTCGGTTTGGAGGTCACGTTATCTGGTCTAGTACAATCCCTTTGTTTTATTATTATTAAAATGGCCCAGACTCACAAATAGCATTTCAATTAATGGAAATAACAGTTTTATCGAGTTCTGCCTCGGCCACAAAGCCAAATTTCACAGATTTTCTTTTCCAGAGAGAAAAATCTGGACTGGTTTCAGGATTCGTCCAGAATCTGGATTGAAGCCGACAGCCAATCAGAAACCGGCTCGGTGACGGGAATCTAAACATCCCGACTGTTGAATCTGGGAAACCACCTCCAACTCAGAGCGAGCTGACATTCGGTTACAGCAGTTGCCGACCTTTGACCTCCTCATAGAGAGCGTAGCTTACGAGCGTTGAGCTAATGGGGTTAAGATGGACGCTGACTGCGATCTAATGGGCCGCGTGATTGACCCGAACCGAGGAGCTTCTGTTTCTGCTAAATGAAGCGGAGGAACTGGACGAATGAGGACAGAACCGGTCAGAACCACTGAAGACGGGAAAATAGAGACAGAAATTATAATCCAAGAGACCCAAGGTTGATTAAACAATTCAGTAATTGGACATTTGAGGAGGTCCAGGAATTTTGGGAGTATTTCCAGGAAAACTGAGCTGATAGCGGTGGATCCTGGTCGATTCGGTGAGGCTTCTTTCATTTAATACAAGTAGCTCTGAAACAAACTGCATGGATAGGACTGGACTGGAATAACTAGATTCCATTATTGGACGATTCTGGAATGAACTGATTAAATGACCTGATGTGTTTCCATATAACTGGAGATTAATTACATCAGTTTGTTTTGGAAAAAGTGCCTGAAATTGGTGAAAATAACCTGAATTTAATTTCCTGATGACTAAACAATGACCCTGAAGTCCAGAAGGACCGGCCCGATGTGCTGCTGCTGAGCGGTTCAGGATGAACGGTTCTGTTTTAATGAGCGGTCCGCCGAGGTTAATCTCCACGCTGGATGTCACCGATCCAACGACCCGTTTAATACCAGCAAACTGAAACCGAGTGTTTCTAGGACTGCAGCCATGCTTGTTTACAGACGTCCCACCTCTAAACACCGGTCCGGCCCGGCCCGGCCCGGTTTTCTCTCTGAGACGTTCAGATTGTTAAATCTCTGATCCTCCACACACCAGAGGACAAACCAATGACTGCACCGTCACAATCCAGCCTGCAGGTTTGCAGAACCAGAGATCTGTGTCAGAACCAAGCAACACGAATTTCCCTACAAGACGACTTTCTATTTGACCCAATGAACAGAAGTGCTCCCGTTATGACCAGCATTTTTGGTTTTGATTTGCTGATAGAGTCCAGATGTTCTGCTTCTGGCCTCAGAGGTTCTTTAGAGAACAAAGGTCAAAGGTCAGAGAGGTTTAAAGCAGGATCATCCCCCAGAGCTCTGACCGATCCGTCACCTGGACATGGAGACCTGAAGCTCTGGGCTTCGTTGAAGCCCAGTGAGAACAGAAGGTCAGTGGTGGGTTTGTAAATAAACCGGATGAATGACCTTGATGAAGGTCACAAGCCGAAACGCGACGGTTTTCAAATAAAGTTGATTCCTGGTGTTGATGGAGGCTTCAGAAGAGCAGCAGGTCAACATCCATCCAGATGTCATGCGACGCTCAGGGGGTTTCAGATATTTAGGCTTTGTGCCTCTGGTACGGCTCACATGGGAAAGTTCACTATGCCAGGAATTATTCAGCACCTTCAGCACATTAACTGTTTTTCCAAAAAGCTCAAACCACCTCGACAAGCTTGAAACGTTTTTGTGAAATTTTGGAAGTTATTCCACATTTATTATTCCTGTTTCCATTAACCTTTTCTGATGCGATACCTGAAAATGCACATTTTAACAAAAGTTGACGATGCTCCCATCAGATAAAATAAAAAATATCTTCCCAGATCACATGGAGGTCTAATAACTGATCACAGCTTGCAGCCTGCTGCAGCAGCGGCCTGCTTTGAGGGTTTACGGCTTCAGCAGGCAGCTGTGCAGCTTCATGCTGATGCAACAGGCTTGGCCATAAAACAGCAAGAAGCCTGCAAAGACAAGCTCATCTTTAATCTGAATCTGGTCTACCATCCAAGATGTGAGTTTAATGACTGAAGCTGGAAGGAAACTCCAGGAGGAACACACTGCAACCTCAGCAGCTGATGAGGGGCAATAAAGTTGCTCCGTACGTCTCCAGGTTTAAATCCAGAGGCAGGAGGGATGCAATGAGCTCAGCAACATGTAGGAAGTGGAACATCATCGTTTTTGTCCAGATTTACTCCGTCCTGCTTCTTCTGGTGCAGAATCATGACGCTTGTCTCACATCAGTGACGTAAGAGTCGGATAAAATACGACACGGCTGTTCAGACTGCAGACGCTTTGGAAACAATCTATTCGGTTCCTCATATGAAGAGGGCAGATCAGGTCGAATCAGCAGATCAGTCTGCTGCGGACAAGTGGCAAATGGGTCGAAAGTGGACAAAAACGAAAAAGTGAACTTGGGTCAGATTTGCCTGCTGAGTGGATTTAGCCTCATGTTCCCCAGACAAACTAATCTGTCAGGTCTGGAGGAAAATCGGATACTTAAAGGTGCAAATAAATGGTGTTAACGCTGCTCAGCCGAATCCAGATGAGGTCGTGATTCCTCTAGAGAAACGGTTCTGAATGCAGGAAGCAAATGGAGGCGGTTCTGCTGACCGGCGTGTTCTCGCTGAATGGACCGGCCCATGATCCGGTGATCCCACATCCTGCAGGTCGTCTGTGTCGGTCTGCACACAAAGCGACGTGAACACCCACAGATGACTCCAGCAAAACTCCCACAAAGTGCTCTTTGTTTGAGTGGATTGGCTGCATGCTGCGAGGTCGGAGGTCACGCTCCGCTCCGCCTGAGGTTAATCCACACGGACACCACGTAGAAGAACCGCCAGCCTGTCTGACCGGAGCGGTCCAGTCGGCGGAGGAACAGCGCCGCCGCTGAAATCGGTGAGAAAGGATTCACTGGGAGGATGGAAGTGACACACGAGGCGTTTCGTCCGCTCCAATTAATCATCGCCGATGATTTTAGGAAAACAGAGTTAGAGCTGCTGCTGACGGCGCCGACACACCCCGCTCAGTACAAACGGCTCCGTTCATCACACTGAGGCTCCTCTGGACGGTTCTGGTTCTGAGTCCAGACCTCACTGAGCTCCAGGTCAGCCTGATGCAGGTCAAAGTTCATTTACAAACCCACCTCTGATCTGCAGGAAGAAAAGCCAAACCGGACCTTCCTCCCTGCTGCTCAACAGGACGATTTTTATTTGATTTGTCATCAACACACAAATATTAACCAGACAGAAAAAAATCATAAAATTATAAAATAAAAGTTGTTTTAATGGAAAAAAGCTTCACCAGTTATCAGGGTCTAATGTGAGCTGCTGATAATAATTTGATTCTGATGAATAAAAAGATTAATTATCTCCCTATTTTTAAAATTAATACCAAAATACAACTAATCATTCCTCATTTTAATTTTTTTATTATATTTCATGGAGGAATTATCACAAAACGTTTCCTAACGATAACACATTATAATATTATAACTTTATTCTCATTTTATTTCTATTCTCGTACGATTGCAACTTTTTATCTTTATTTTTATATTATTATTACTTTATTGTCTAAATGAAAACAACAAAAAACTAATTTTCTTAGCCTGCCATGTTCTAGGTTTCACTGTAGATGTTGGAAAAAATCCAGATTTTTTCCCTCCTACATGTCAGAAATTCACATTTTTCGTACGCAATAAACAATATTATTCATTTAAAGAATATGACTGCTACGAAATAACAACTTTGCTACTGGACGATTGATCCCCACATTAAATGCTATATAATCTGATCAGATTTATCGTAGATCCATCACTTAGATTAGATTATCTGTAATTAATCCCAGAGAAAAGAGAACCAAACGATTTTAATCAGTTTAATTATAAAAGCTTTTCTTTAAAGGATCATTTCTAACTGTTGTCAGCACTAAGAGTGAAAAGGAGTCAAGCAGATTGACCGTAGTTTGTCTGCCCATCTCCTGCTTCCCTCCGTTTCTCATCTGCGCTTCCATCACTCTGTGACCTTTAACCTTTGGGTAATGCCATTAGTGTCCAGTGTGAGCATCTGCTGCCCTGAGACGCCGTCCAACCCGTTCAATGTCACTAATCAGTATGAAAAATTCAATTTAAAACTCTTGGAATATATAAGCCAGTAGTTAATGCTCTCTGCACCGTCCTTCGCTTTCTGACCGTTACGCTCACTGATGTTGCCATGACGATACTCTGAGCAGGCCTACCTACTGCAGATTAAAAGCCGACTGAGCTCTAAAGGTCCGGTTAGTTGTGCTTCTTTAAACCAATCAGTTCAACAGAAAAATAAACTTGTAACAATAAACCAGATTTAGTACAAATGGAGCGGAATAATTCCTGGAAACATCGTTTTTACGCTAGATGGAGCTGGGGAATCTGCTGCTGAGCTACTGGAAGACCGTCAGGACCCGGAACGAACGAGACAGAGAGAGAGCGAGAGACACACACACACACACACACACACACACACACACACACACACACACACACACACACACACACACACACTGGGGCTTTATGGGACTCAAGTCAAGCTGAAAAGCAGATTTCCACCTGATCGCCACTCCTCCAAACCCTGGGGTCAGAGGTCACCTCTTAGGAACAAACGTCTTCTTGTGGGTAAACAGGCAGCGACTGAAGCAGCTGCACACTGCGGGACGCGTTTGTTTCTTGGTGACCCAGTCCGTTCTCTGAGATTTAATCTCACTCATTGGGTTTTATTAAAGTTTTAAAGTCACCATTTGGTCGGCAGAATCTCCAGGTCCGGTTCTGGAGAGTCTCGGTATGAAACTCTGACATGGTTTGAACTGAAACCTGAAACATGCAGGGTTTCCCCCAGTGTATCATCAGCCAGGCTGAGCGTTGTTCATTTATTATAAGGTTATTTATCGGATAAAGAGTCTCTGGTGAAACTTCAGCTGGTAAATCATGGATAAAGATTAAATTTATATTTATATTGTTTTCTTTTTACGTTCACCTCTTTGAAGACTTTATAGTTGGTGTTTGGGTATTGTTATTGTCTTCCAGCAACATAATTACCTGGTGATATTTTCAAACTTACTGTCAACTTTAAAATGTTTAAACTCAGAAACCCGGTGGACGCAGCTGGCGCTGCTACCAGCAGGGTTAGCAAGGCTTCTGGGGGAAACCCTGAACATGTGTGGTTACCACAATGCCAAGAGGGAAGGACATCAGCAGTGAGCTACATTAACAAGTTTATTTTGCCCATCAGTGAAGTAAATCAAAGAAAGTGGAGGATCAGCTCTGAGGGCTTCAACCTGCAGCAGGAGACGAGAGCAAACTCACCCGAATGAGTAGACCTGACTGGGCTTCTTCATCGTCACCCAGGAGCTGATGAGACAGGTGATCAAACTGCAGGTGAGAGGAGGAAGAGCAGACGGAGCGAGAGGAGAGGAAGGGTGATGGCAGGGAAAGAGGAGAACAGGTGATTGATGGAGGGGTGGAAGGGCAGAGATGAGAGGAGGGCGGATGAGAAGAGTCAGTGAGCGACAAGTGGAGGAGAATCACAGAACCAACCACAGGGTCAGCTAAGGGTCACCTCTGACCCAAACCCACCTTAATGACCCGGGAACTCACCTGAACAGGTCGAAGATGGTGAGATATGTGTAGGCAGTTAAAGCTGTAAAGACCAGAAAACAGAAACACGTCAGTAAAACCCAGAGAGCATCGAACACTGATGGAGAAACATGGATGATATCAGCAGAACATTTACATTTCTACAACACCACAGCACCACCTGTAAGACTGAAGCTGGTCTGAATTATGATCCTCTGACCTCATCACTAGAAAAACTCCATCATGGCTCAGAACCAAGCACTGACGAACCTGCTGGGTTGAACCGGTGATTCCTTCTCTACAGAACCATGGATGGTTTGAAGCTTCATTAAATCTGATGTTTGTGAGGATCGCTGGTCTGGGTGCAGACCACTGCTGGGCACAAACACATCAACTCCACAAATACTTGAGACTCCCTCTGAAATCATTTATAACTGCGCATTTTAAAACTTCAAACACCAAATATATGCACCATCCTAGCACTAACACAGCCTGCCTTATCTCCAGACAATCAGCAGAAAGGAAAACGGTTGCCTCCTGGATTGGCTGCTTTGAAAACAACAACCAATAGTGTCAAGCAGAGTTGCATCTAGATATTCTGGCTTCCCGCTTTTCGTGATGGAGATAAATAGAGATGCTGAGCGTTTCTCAGAGAGGTGAGGCTGAGATGGGCTGGATGTGAGGAGGACGACCATGGAGAGGGCTGATGGCTGCAGATGACAAGGCTTGGAAGGAGCCTTAGGAAACAGGATTATCTTTAAGGGTTGCGTCTTATTTGCCAGGTTAGCCACAGCTGGTCAGGCGAAACCCAAAGAGTCTGGAAACTGGATCAGTTTTATCTGAGTCAGTTAGCAGAGAGCAGCAGGGAAGCTGGTGGTTCGGTACGTTGGTGAGTAAACCAGAAACTAATCAGTCTGTTAACCAACCAAACAACAAGACCAGCTTGGCTTAAATACAGCAAACCTGCCTGTCCATCTGTCAATCTTTCAGCCCGTCTGTCTGCCGAAACGTCCGTCTTCCGGCCTGTCTGTCTGTCTTAATGCCGGCCAACCAGCTTTCTGTAATCAGGCTGTGCCGTGGGGGAAGAGGAGGCAGGATTAGAGCGGCTTTGTGCTGAGAGGAACATTTTGTTTCCCCACTAAAAGAGTCCATGTTGGCCAACCTGACGCCCTGTAATCCTCCTGACAGAGAGGCCCGCGGCACAGACCCACAGAGACTGACAGAGGGGGCGGAGAGCGGCAGAGCGACAGGCTGGGAGGGAGACAGATGGATGGAAACATCAAGGCAGAGAGACGGCTCAGAGAGGTGAGAAGGCAGGAGACAGGATGATGGACATGTGGAGGGACAGACTGACAGAGCAGAAGTGAATGAGTGAGAAAGAGTGTGAGAGTCTGGCGAACCGATGAAGAGGAGCGGCAGAGTGGAGGAAGGAGACAACCAGGAGACGAGAGGAACGGAGCAACTGACAGAAAACTGATTAAAAAACTGATAGAAAACTGATAGAAAAACTGATAAAAAAAACTGATAGAAAACTGATAGAAAAACTGATAGAAAACTGATAGAAAACTGAGAGAAAACTGACAGAAAACTGATAGAAAACTGATAGAAAACTGATAAAAAACTGATAAAAAAACTGATAGAAAACTGATAAAAAAACTGATAGAAAACTGATAGAAAAACTGATAAAAAAAACTGATAGAAAACTGATAGAAAAACTGATAGAAAACTGATAGAAAACTGATAGAAACAGCTTCAGAGCTGGAGAACCAGTCACCATCAGTGAGCCTGAACCTGACCTGCTACCATGGTAACAGAACCCAAACCAACATCAAGGATTTCCTGAAGAACCAGAGTAACTAACGGATCTCAGTCCAGTTCCTGTGGTTGAATCATTAAACGGGATCAGAACCACAGGCAGGTAAACAGGAAACCCAGATTATTACTGGAAAATGATTCAGCCCAGAGGAGACGAGCCGTCGGCCAAACATGTCTGCTATTGGTTGTTTGAAACTTTTAAAACTGGTTTCAAGCATAAAATATATTTTAAAAATCTAAATATCAAAACCATCAGAAACTCTGAGGGACAATATGAGAAATCAGTTTCCATCCAATTATCATGAACACTTTGAGTGAAATTTACGACGTCGCAAAAAACAAAGGAAGGAAGAAAAATAAAATGTGAATTTGTCATGTTTACCTGCTTGGTATGAACCAACCAGGGAAGAAAGAGGAGTTTTATCAGAAGCTGTGCATGGCTGCAACAGTCGAGACGCAGAGGATGAGATGGAGAACAGATCTCAGAAAGCTACTTCAGGCCGTCAGACTCTGGTCCTCATCCAAACCGACTCGGCAGTGATCTGCCTGATGGTTTTCAGACGCTACATGGCTGACTTTCTGCTCTTACGAGGCTGCTGTGGTCATATTCTGTGGTTTGAAACATCTGAGAATTTGTCAGGAGAAAAGCAAAACATCATAACTCCTGATTCGCCAGGTTTCCAGACCAGAAGGATCGTTTTACGTCTTCATGTTGTTCAGAGTCGCTGCATCCGCCTGTTATTTTGATCTGCTGCAGCTCATGTCTCCACAGGGATCAATGAGGTTTGATGTCATTGTGTTGTGTTGAATTAAAAGCTGCAGACGATAAAAGCAATAATAATACAAACGCTGACATCACAGTGACCCTGAAACAGGCCGGGTCCAATCAATGGACGGGTTACAATTTCCCCTCGCTGTGCTGGGATAGTTTTACATACAGTCTCTCACACACACACACACACACACACACACACCTATGCACACCCGACCCGGCTCAGGTTCTTCATACGACTCCAGCTTACAAACACTGACACCCAGAGGACGAGTGGAAGTGACACCGGAGCAACAAACAGCCGGCGAGACGTTCGTCATCTACAACTCACAGATGGCAGAAAGCTAAACTGAAGACAGGAAACACACACATTTTATGATGTCCACACACACACACACACACACACACACACACACACACACACACACACACACACACACACAATGAAAAGAAACTATGCATCTTTGTTTCCAGAGACGATCGATGGACAGGACTTCAGTCAAACTACTCTCTAACCATCTGCTTTTCTAATCCTGACCACCATTTTATCCCCAGATTTCCTGCAAATCTGACTTCTTCTGAAAGATTAAACTGCTAAGAGGTGAAAGAATATTCAGTAGAGAGAGGGAAGGAGAAAGCCAAAGGGAAGAAGGAGAAATGAGAGGAGAAGGAGAAGCAGATGATGAATATTTAATGCTGTCTGCACATGAGCAGCCCAAACATCCAGGGAAGAGTAAAGAAAAGTGGGGGACCAAGGCAGTGATCGTATGTAACAGGAACACAGACGCATGAAGACAGAGCTGGATGTTTATTCACCAGCCCACAGACCCTCAGGCTGATTTTACCCAGATCTGTTGCTGTAACTGAGGAAGAAGGCTTCATTCACCCATCATAAGTTGATTTTTCTGTTTGTTTTACATAGAAAAATCCCAGACTTGATTTCTGAACGGCCGTAAATCTGAGGCACAAGCAGGTTTCTGGTTTCTGTGAACCTGAAGGATTCGTTTCGTTTTTAGATGTTCTCTCCCTGGGTCGTTCTGCTGATGACCCAGTTTGGCCCAAGCTTCAGCTGACGGACAGATGGACTTTGGTTAAATAAAACTACAGAGGAGCCTGCAAGGTGTCCAGATTCCTGTTCCAGAAAATTAGGCCCAAACCATCAGCCCTCCACCACCGTGCTGGACCGCTGGTCTGAGGTGTTGGTGCTAAAATGCTTCATCTGTTTCTTCCGTCTTCCCTTCCAACCAGGAGGCCTGTAGAGACGTTTCCCTGAACTTCACACTCTGACGCTGAGCTGAATCTTCTGTCCTCTGAAGACGGTCTGAGGTGTTTTCCTCTTTTCTCGATGGACTCAAACAGTTTGGACCCTTCCCAGATTGGTGGACAGCAACAGATGCTTCTTTAAGGTCACTGCTGCAGCAAAATGCCACATCTCCTGATTTTACAGCAGTGCTCACACTGATGATCATTTAATCAGCTGAATCTGATCAGCAGCATCTGGTTTGGTCTAAATGTAGCTTATTTTTGCACAAACTGATCCAAACCAGGAAGCAGCAATGATAAAGTGCTTTTATATTCTGACCAGCACTAGTTCAGGGTCCGTCATCTTATGAACCGGGTCACAGATGAAGAGGGAATCAGAAACGCAGAGGGGGAGGAAGTGCTAACCACAGCAAACAGAGCTTCGTGGCATCGGTTCCGGTAAACAGTAAGCCGAGACCCACAGAGCCGGCCGCGGTGTCGGGTCAGCTCTTGTGATGTGCAGATGTAAACTAAAAGCTTCTATCGAACGTCTCAACTGCTGCGGTGACGAGGATCCCCAAGGACGAGGAAGAGGAGGAGGACAGAGATGAAGAGACGCAAAGTGCTGATTGCTTAGAAAGAAACCTGAAACTGGACCTGAAGGGCGGCCAGACAGAACCGAACCAGCTGACAGACTCCCTGATACCAGCAAAGATACAACATGACGGGTCACAACAGCAAACAGCAGCTCAACTCTACATGTTTAAAAGTGAAGAACAGGACTGACTAACCACAACACACACACACACACACACACACACACACACACACACTCATCATGTCATCCTCAGTCGATATGAAACTGGACCGAAGCTCCACTTCATCCATTTATGTGGTGAAACAGAGACTCTGATCTCGGGCTTCTGTTGGGACACATTAACCTCCCAACCTGCTCCACCCAGTCTGCTGACCCCCTGAGCCGTGACCTATGACCCTGAAGTCCCCCTGAGCTTGTTGGGATCAATGTAACATCGTCCATTAAGACCAAAGTACTACCCAGAGTCCTGGTTTGTTAAGCAGCTCATGTTAAATAACGACCCCCTGTGGAGAGACTGGACTCTCCTGGTTTCTACTGAACCTCAGAGCGCTGGTCAGTCTGGTTTAACTGGTCCTTTACTGGTCCAGAATAGACGTTTTACTACCATGATGCGTATTCGTACTCAGAGCCACATAAA